TGTACTACTATCATCTGTTTTTAGTTTTACTAAATCAGGATTGATCCTATCATAAAATATTTTTCCTTAAATACAATTCATTTTCTAGAAAAAAAAATATAGAAAACTTCTATGTTTATATTTTACATAAGCTACTGTAATTAGGAATTTCATGTCAAATACAGTGAACCCTCAGAGAAAATTCAGTGAATGAAATCCTGGCCCCGACAAAGGAACTAGCAGAATTTCTTTGATTTTTCTGTGATCAAGATTTCATCCAGTCTTTGACAGAGATGCACCAAGACTAAATGTTTAGATGTGACAGCACTGAAACTTGAAGTGATCCACAATATGAACACACATATTACTTGAAATATTTCCAATGAATCTGTGTCCATATAAATTCAGATGTTGCAGTAGTAGAACTATGCATCCATATGTAATAAATCCGTCCATCTTTTAATACCAATAAGGCATCAGCAAGGATGTTAATCATTTAATAGAAACATAAAGTTGTACTTCAATAAATAAAAACAATGTAAGATATCCAGGGTTTGAAATTTTGAATATTTTTATAGGTACATAGCTCTACAAAAGTCACTGAGATGACTCATGAATAAAATTGCCCATGCAATTGAGTTCTGCGATAAGGAATCTGAAGAATTTCCAAAAATAGAAGAAACAAGTGAAAACCATTGAAAATAGGTCCTTTCTCCCCCCTCTCTAGCCATGGTGATTTTTCTTTAAGGCATAGTCCTAGGCCATTTGTAAGTAGGAAATCTAGCACAGCAGATAGACTGGACTTTCACCAGGCTAGCTGTACATGTTTTTCTCCTCTATGCTTTTAATTATACTGTACCTTTATCCTTCTCACAAAACCATATGACACCTCATCCACCATCTCATTTAAGAGCTTTGCTTTTTCCAGAGTTTAATGCTAGCCACCTGGAAGCAGGCATCTATATATGGGCAACTATTTAAATGGAAGAGATGAAAACTAGTAAACGAATTGTGAAGCGGATGCAGGACATGCAAAAGGAAGAGGGCTTATGTTGAAAAGAGATGAATGCATAACATGGAATTTGCTACATTCTTTAAGAATCAGTCTTATTATTTCAGTATCTCTTAATAATTTCACTAGTAATCTTAGAAAAACAGAAAATATGAAATTTACTGTTGATTCCCAACTTGTCAACAGCACACACATGATATTGGAGCCAAGAAATGGTGTTATGTTACAGGGTAACAAAATTCCAGATTACACACTAGAGCCTAAGAAAAACTTTTGGTATAATCTGGTAGTGTGAGAGACAGAAGTTGTACAGCATGAGAAAAATTTGTTGTTTGTACTGAGCACAGGACAATCTATAACCTATCAACATAGGAAAGTCATGAAAGAAAGTAAGGCCGATCCCAGATTTATCAGTGTTTAAATGGAGATGGAGAGACTTAATGCTATTATGCACATTACTAGTAAGAGTTTACTAGAATGCCATAGAACTCTGTCCATCAGTGTTTAAGACACGCTAATTCAAACTGTAATAGGTCATAGATGTTATCAGGGAAATACAGAACTTGTTTTATGAAAAGAGATTTAAAAGGGGTCTGGTTCAATTAAATAAAAACTGAGTGTTGTATATTAATACATCAAATGGTGAACAGAAGAAACTAACACTTAAGAACATTATTGAGAGAGAAACAACTGAGACAATTTCTAATCAGACGAGTGACGTTCAGGCACTGCCTTCAGTAGGAACAGTGAAACAAACTGGTTTTAAGATGAACCACTGGATTACAGAAGATATTAGATAAGATAGTCTGCTGAAAAGCAAAGAGTTTTGATTGGTGATTCACAAGTTTTGCTCAAGTCCCACTTCTTTTTACTTTTTACTGCTAAAACTGATGTACTCATCTGAAATTTTTGATTCTGACAAACTGATATTTTTTTCAGTAAAAACTAGATAGAACAGTTCCAACTAATGTTATGTGATTGTGTTGGAAGACCAGTACTAAGTGCAATGAAGTAATATGGTGGATATAGCCAGAATCAGCCAGAAAACAATGAAGAAAATGAAATCCACCTGAAAAACAGACACCAGAATGAAAAGAAAACTTCATTTCATCAGAATATTAATCCAGGACACACAGTTTTAAAATCAGAAACAGCTCTCTGACAAGTCTCTGTCAAATTCATTTGGGCTGTGACAAATAATGGGATGATGTCATATGCTGTATTTTCAAAGCTTAAAATTGGCTTTACCTGTATTCTTATCCTACAGTAAGAATGGCTTGCAATATACATGGGAAACTTCAGAATTCACAAACGTGAAGAAAATGTGAAAATTTTGAAAAAGATGACAAGATTTTTCTCTGCAGAAGGCAAATATTATTTAAAAAAGAAAATTCGGCTGTAATTCTCAAGTGTAATTGTGCCAAATGTGTAGTCTAAATGCAAGCATTCAAGTATTAAATAGAGAGACTTTAGTCCTGCTATAAGTGCAAACCACAATGCAACCTCTGCTGTGGATTTACAAGTAATTACTCTTTTGTATACAAGTAACACAAAACCTACAGCATAATGTGAAAGGAAAAATAACAATCAAGTGTCATGTAAATGAAATTTTCCCACAAAAGCACTCTACCTTTTCATTTCATTTTCTTCTTCCTCCTTACACAGCTTTAATCCTCATTGCCTATGATTATCTAACTAACAGCTTGTGACAATTTGGGGGATCTCTCTATGTAAAGCTTATGAATTCTGTTTGAAACTTGGGAATCTCTATATATAGCCGTGTCAGGTTGAAAATTCTTTGCTAATCTAAAATCCACAAGAGGTGACAGAAGAAATTTTTGCTCCTGGCACACAATCAATAAAGAATTGTTAAACCTTTATAATATGCTATTCAAATACAGTTCCTTGAGGCATGATGATGCTACCAGGTAGGCAAACCTGGTTTTATAGATGAGGTGAGGAGGTAATAAATAGGTGATAAATCATCTGTTCTACACAAATTTCATCACCCGATAAGGGAGCTACCTGACTAAGAAGAAAAGGTGGCTGGAAGAGCAAGTGTCTCTTGCTTGGTGTTGCAGACTAAGCACATCTGGTAGCAAGTATTGGAGGGGGGATGGTGTACTTGCAGGACTTCTACCTATATTTGGAGTGGAAAATAAAGGCAGAGAAATGCAAAGGAGCTCCTGCCTTTAACAGCTGTTCTGCAACCCTTAAAATCTGAGGGGTTCCTTACCCCTGCTGTGAAGAAACTCCAAGTCCAGCATACCGCAAGTTTAAACAAATGGTACTTGAAGAAATCAGCACTGCCCCTCAGAAGAGAGGCCAGTAAAGCCCCGCGCCAAGATCGGCGCCGGAGGACTGGGGAAAGAGTCGGCGTTGCTGCTTCAGCAGACCGAAGCAAGCTCACGTACCCACCAGCGGTCTGCTGCATGGAGAAACCTGGCTCTAGCAACTGGCAAGCGGCCGAACAGTTGTTTTTACCGAGGCTGGCGAGGGGTTGGCTACTTTTGTGCAAATGAGCCCTGTCCTGCTAATGTGGTGACGACCACATGGATGCTCAGTGGCCTTTTTGCCGGCAGGGATTCCTGCACTGCCCGGCTCATCCCCTCCGTGCTGGGCAGCAGGCAGCTCGGGGCTCTGCGGCCCTCCTTCACGGCCAAGGCACCTGGCGGGCCGCTGGCGGCGAGAAGACGAGCGAGGGGTGCACCTCCCGACCGCGGCCTGTTCCCCGCTGAACCGGGGAATCCCCCCCCGCCCGGCGCTCAGCTGAGCGGCGACTGAAAGCCCCTTCGCGGCGTGGAGCCTTCGCAGCTTCCCGCGGTTACTTCACCCTGCCCCGACCGCTGCCCGCCCGGGTCTCGGGGCGAGGTCCCGCCGCCAGCGGGCTGGGGCCGCGCGTGTCGCGCCCGTTGAAGCCCCAACGGTTCCCCGCGCGGGCGGCGCGTGGGGGCGGCTC